TTAAAGACCAGCAAGTAGCAAGTGGAATATTTATTTATAACAAATGGCAGGCGTTTTGATAGTTATCATTAGCCCTTTAGATGACTTCGGGCTTCACAGGGGGAAGGAACATCAAAGTAACAGAAATTCGAGGGGTGGGGAACAGAGGAGGGGTTTACAGTTGTAAAAGAGACAGACACAAAGGCAGAGAAAAGGTGAGGTGAGTACTATGGAAGTGGTAGAATATAGCATACAGTGGGGTGATGGTAGTTTGAAGTGAAAAGTCAACTACCTGTTTATGGAATTTTTTGTCGTATGAGTATACGTTGCCCAGGGTGCACCACGTGGACGTAAGTCTATCGCACACCCCCCTTAAAAAATGATCATATATTTCTTCAATAGCAGAAAATAGGTGTGCCTGTGGTACGACAGTTACTATGCTCTCCTTAGAAGTGAGAGGTCACAAGGTCATCCATTGGTGCGCACCCAGTAAGCGAAGTTTTGGTTACTAAGAAGTGCGGCTGAGGGTGGGCAGAAAATCCCCATTTGCTGTCACTTGTTCAAGATGAGAGTTGGAAATGATTTTCGATATTAGCCTGGATATATTATTTACGAGAACTTTCGTTCGCACATGTGTCTCATCTGTGGGCCAGTGTCATTCCATTTTATTTGCACAAATTATACTCACGGCAGACATTTTTATTATTGATATACTCGAATGATTTACGCTTTTATCCAAAATATAATATGGGTTATATACCCCAATGCCATTCAACTAATTTTTGTCGGCTAGGATTGTTTGGTGGAATATATTTTTCCAAAATACCAGCATTTCAAGCCTATTTATATCAACTCCGGAATCTGCCTGTCGTTAGTCATTTTTTTCAAGAATTACATTTCCCTAGAATTTAAAATTCCACAAAATGCATAAATCCCCACTTAGGGTGTTTCATGTAAATAAATCTCTCTCGATAATACGTCTTCCATGATTGAATATGAGAACGAAATCCAATCAGAGTTGTTCGCCGTAACCAATGACTGTACGTTTTTTTTATTATTTTAATAGGATGATGGAAGTGGAGATGCCAATCGTCTGCACTTTGATGATTGGTCGAACGATTTGGCCAAGGACGTGATGTCGATTCAAGAAGAGCTCGAGGCTTTTGGTGAGAAGATGCCGGAGCGAAAGCCCCTCAACTCTCAGTCGAAACTATTTCCCAAGGGCTCTAAGAAGAGGAAACTCCGTGCGGTTTCGAAGTTGGAAGCGATTGAATCGGGAGATGAGGAGGAGGAAGAAGAGGAAGAAGGTGTGGAATGAAGTGACATTTTTTTATTGTCATTTCAGTGAATTGTACTTGTAAATATGCAGATGTTTGGCTATGACTTTAAATGTACCTTTTGTTTGCAAATTCTCTGTGCTTTTGGGCTAGACAAACGGGTTTCGTTTAATGAACAAATTTTATCAAATCCGAGAAATTCTAAATTTGAATTAATCGGTGTTTTTCCACTACCTTTACCCACGATAAGTTTTTTAAAGGTTTTGTGTTTTGCATATTTCTTGAGTTTTAGTATGAGATGACTTACCTCCACTTGGTTCACCATGGGCAAAGTATACTCATAGTGCAAAATAGTCTATAAATCCTCAGTTGGCTTTAAATTGCTATGACCTCACTGCATGTCATATTCCACCACTTCCACAGTATTCACCGTTCTCTTTTTCCCTACCTTTGTGTCAGTCGACTCTTTAACACCTGTGAATCATCATTCTGTTCCCCCTCTCGACTATTGCTACTTTAATGTTCATCCCTTCCTCCTCTGTGGAGCCCGAAGTCAACTAAAGGGCTAATGAGATAACTATCGTAAAGCCGACCATATGATATAAATAAGTTATAGCCTTGGGCGCGTAGATCGTTTTCGAATAATTCACTCTCCATATCGCCATAGTCTTCTCCACACGGCAAGATTGAGAGAGGAGTAATCAGTGCTGATCACTTGAAGAGAATCATAGAGCAGGAGATGGAAAGACGGGGGACGGATTGCAGTGAAAGTGTATGCGCAGCGTATTCAATATTCGATGGGTTGTCAAGAGTCGGTTGTGAAGTCTCGACAAATGTTCATACAATCATTAAGCATTTCTCACTTTGAACTCGCAATCAAACCGCCTGCATGAAATCACCGCTCGTTGTAACTACCTGACGTCTTTAAATCAATGCACACCGCGATTTTGTTTTAACCTTCCGATCTCCTATCTTAGTGTTGAGGATTTATCGTCTTGAATGTAATGGACGATCCTTGCAAACGCCGACTCGATGCATATCCTCAGAGAGCTCTCGTCGGGTTATCACAACTAAACCAAGAACATTACGCCTAAATAGACGAGCTTTATTTATTTTCAATTTCTCCGAAACTTCTTTAATGAAGGCATTGGTTGGTGTTTTCATTCAATTACTTACTAAAAAAACCTAGGTGATTAAAATGAAACTCACCAAACTTTGTTTTTTTTTGCGTTGAAGTAGCAACTTTCATCGACTGAGAGCACTTGGCGGTGGAGGAATAAATTTTGAAAATTGCATGTCTAAAGGCTCAATTTATTTCGTTAATCAATAAGCCCTAGTCATGGCATCTATTAACTTGGTCAGCAACACCCGTAAATATGTGCATATGGCATTTAACTTAAATGCATTTGGCAAAAAATGTAAAGAACCCCATGAATTTATGCTTCAAATGAAGCAAAATGTCTTAATACACCGGCTAAACTGTCCGCCATTTCACCATTTCCTGAGTTAGGCTGTTTTCCCAAGAATGGAATTTGTAGAAATATTGTTTTCTTTTGTCGTTGATAACAATATCTTATAAGAATTTTCAACCTCATCTGTTAAAGTCAGTCAGTAAATAAGTGGGGTGAAATACGATGTATCATTTCGAATAATTATTATCAAATGGTAGGCATTACGGTAGTCATCATTAGTCGTTTAGTTAACTTCGGGCTTCACAGAGGGTAAAAAAAATCAAAGTCACAAAAAGTCGAGGAGGGGAGAGGGGAACAGAAGAGTAGTTTACAGACAAGCAGACAAAGGTAGAGTAAAAGGTGGTCGAATAGGACATACAGTGGGGTCATGGTAGTTTGAAGTCAGAAGTCAACTGC